TGGATCTTCCAACGCACGTTTCTCGTATGTGACCAAAGCTTCCTGCCATCGTCCGAGACGCTCGTACCATTCTTCGTGTTTGCTGACGTCGTACTGTTCGCGAGCAATCAACAGCGTCCCCCACGCTGCGTCATGCTGCTGGAGCTTGCTGTTGATTCCAATGAGAGCCTCGATGATTGTTGGAGATGTTTCCGTGAAGAACTCGAGCTCCTTGTAATGCAACGCTTTAGCATAAGCGTGGAACTTCATGGCATATTCGCCCAAGGTGCGGTTCTCGATGGGGAGTGCCTTCTCCTCATGTTCCATGAACTCAGCAAGGTTTAGGAGGCGATGTACCAGATCTGGTGGTGCCAAAGGAGAGGTGATCGCAAACTCGATTGACCGGACAAGATCCTCCTATGACACACGATGAGAGGCGGTTTCAAGAGAGGTCAAAGACGGGTACGAACCTGGTACTGATCATAGAGATCTCCCCAGCACGAGAAGAACGCGGCATTGAACAACTCTTTGGCCAGAGGAGGATACACATCCACCAAGCTCATACACGCCCTAAGCGCATGAGACGGGGATTCCTTCATGAATTCAACCGAAAGCCGATGCATCCATTCGATCCAATCGTCCTTGGTCGAGATTTGGGAGACATCCCAAGCCTGTTTCAGATGTTGCTGGTTTACGACCATCTTCGTTGCCTCTGCAGGCGCTGAGAACTCGGCTGCTTTGGCATTGTCGCTGGACCTGAGAAGATATGAGTTAACATCCTCTGTGTAGCAAAGATTCGCGGTACTTACATGCTCTCGAACGCCGGTGCGTCTTGCGGAAGACGTTCTCCGTTCAAGAGTTTGGACACGAGGCTCTCATACTTAGGATGCGAGAATCTGAACCGCAAGAGGGTCTGTTCAGAATATTAGTGTTCGTAGTGCTCGCAATATGCGTGGATCCCACCTTGTTGATTGTAGGGATGAAGATGGCGAAGTCAGACCCAAGCTGAATGATCAGAGAACACAGAGTATCCATGACCGCACTCCGAAGCTCGTTGTGTGGTTGACCAAGGACACGAACTAAGGGGTGTATAATCCGAGCTGCGTGGTCCGAGAAGTTTACCCTACGTGATAACCCGTCGACCGTGTAGACTGCGCGCTTGCGAAGTGCAACGGTAGCGTCTGGGCGCTCAGCCGTCTTCACGATGACAGGGATGACAAGCTGCAAGTATTCTTCAATGTTTGCCCCGAACGTAAGGAATGCGTCGAATATCTTCATCTGTGTGGCTGCGCTCCTCTCGTTCATTTCGCCGTCGAAAACCTTGAGTATCAACGGCAAAATCTGTGGCAAGAATGGCTTGAACTCCGCATCCAAAGCTTTACCAAGGGCCTCTACGAGAGACACCAGCGGTAGTTGGAGCGAAGTAACCTCCCATAACTCAGTGATCAGATTGAAGATGTCCGGCATATGATTACGGACGTGCTGCTTGATGATACCGATGAGGATAGCGAGCTGCTCGAGATGGAAGACTTGGGTGCGTGCCGCAGAACTCTTTGCGACTGCAGCGAAGGCGGGAATGATCTATGAGACGGGGTTCAGTGACGGTTTTGCTAATGCACGCATGTAATAGGCATGTACCTGAGGCAGGAAAGTGACGCATTTCAGACCTTGAGTCTTGAAGATGGACATAATCGCTTCAATGACTTTATGGTGCTGCCCGCTGAGTGACTGGTCCTTCAGGATGCTCAACAGCGAGTTGATGGCCACCGTTTGGTAATAGTCGTCAGAGGAGGTCGATGTGCCAGTAAGATTACGAGGCGCAGATGTGTTGGTCAACGCGGATGATATCTCAGTCGGGCCTTCTTCCAAAGGCTTCGTCTGTCAAAAACGACCGTTAACTCGACGTTCGAGCCTACATAACGCTCAGTACACACCTTGCGCTTGTACGGGTCCAGGGCGCCGAGAATACCAAGAACTTTGATCACTTCTCTTCGCACAGACTGTGTGGGCTCCGTGCGCAGAATCCGACTGAGGATCTGCAGCAGTTGCGGATGATCGACAAGGGGCTGTACGACATAACCAGTGCTAGAGCACACTTGTCCCAGAGTGTGTAACGCAGCATCCCTTTTCGCCAGAGAAGGATCTACCAGCTTCGCCATGATCACCTCCATGAGTTCCGGTACTATGGGTAAGACGTCTTCTCCGCCCACGCACGCGAGTTCGCCTAAGCACATCAGGACGTTGGCAGCGACAGTAGGGTTGGAGTCGTTAGCTTTGGACAGGAGTACGTGGAGCATTGATGTTGCGTATGGTTTCATGAGCCGTTGCGTGTTGCTGACGAGAGATGTCAGGAGGCGGGTACACTGCTCTCGATCTCGCCTGTATGGAAGAAATTAGAAAGCTTCCAATCAAGCAAGCACATGACGCACATGACGGTAGAATATTCGAGCTCTGTGAGGAGTTGAATCAAAGTCTTCCTCAGCGAAGGCATCACATATGCTGGATTGTGCAATGCCAGGCGTCCAATGAGCTCGACGGCCGTCGTTCGGTTCTCGAAGACTTCATCATTGAGAGCAATGAAGATGAATCGCACGTTCTCAGCTTGAGCAAGATGCTTGTCGAACCGTTCGTGAAGAGAGGAAAGAACGGCCAATCGAATGCTTGCATCTGCAGATGGAATGAGTATACATGGTTGATTGAAGTGAAGAAGTATATTACCTGGGTCGGCAATAGCAACAGTCAGCAGCTTGTCGATAACCTCACTGATGATCTCGATAGAATGATTGCTTGCTTGGTAGCAAATAGGATCCCGCATGAACAGACGGCAGCACGTCAGCGCCGCGGCACGACGGACTTCAGCGTTGTCTTCTTCCAAGTATGGCAGCGCGCAATCCCGGACGAATTCATTGAGAATATGACCTGCAGGTTGTTGAGTCGATAACGCGCATGGAACGAGTATAGGAGGGGTACTTACCACTGAAGTCGAATGTGCCCAGGATGGTCAGGGCAAGCGTAAGCATTTCAGGTGTCTTCACCGTCGTTGCGTTCTGTACGAAGTCGATATCAGAGCGAACTTCACACATAATGAGAGTGTACAAACTTCAGCATTGCTGAATTCACGATTCATTGGGGCGGTATCGGATCGTGTGGCACTCGGGGCACCAAGTGGCTTGTACTTCTGACCTCCCAGGATGACCGACAGCAGATTCAAGAGACGATCTATCGAGAATGATGTCTATAAGTTGAAGCTCGGCATCAAGCATCATCGGCGTACCTTGGATCGTCTTCAGGAGTGGGGGTATGTGTCGAGCGATCGCCACCAGAGCTTGATGCAGAGGCTCACTCAGATCGCAGGCAAAGATCAAGTCAAGTTGCTCGTGAAGAAGTTTGGTCAAATTGGGTCCAACTGCAGAGGCCAACATTCCGATACATTGGAAGATCGGTTCCTCCGAAGGTGCGTTCTTCTTGCTGTTGGTGTCAAGGAGCAATAACCGTCAACAAGATCCAAACGATAACGAAACGTCTACATACCCGCGCTGCTGTAGACCCAATTTTATCTGGATCATGATTGACTCCAAAAAGGTCTTCATTTCGCTTCCAACAGCACTTGCGACATGGCCAATAGCAATGAACGCTGTACCAAGGTTACTCAGTACATTTCACTTTTGACGAACAAAGTGCGCTCACCGACGGAGCGTTCTGCAGGCTTCTCCAGCTGTGTCAACAAATGGCCCATAGCTTTGTGTAGATGGTGCTCCGAGAATGTTTGAGTATCATATACGGCCAACGTTGGTATTAGAGTAATGACCATCTTCCGAACGTGTGGATCTCTGTGCGTCTTGAAGTTCAGAAGCTGCTCTGCCGCGTCCAGGAAATTCTCCTTCATGAACTAACGGATACGCGTTAGGGTGATGGGCGCGAGTTCATGTGGCTAGTCATACTCACCATTCCACCATGCAACAGCAACTCCCGATACGTCAACAACGATCCGTGAATGACCTCCGGCGCGGCCATCTTGAGTCCCATCTGAGCATCTTGTAGGATTTTCAGCAGGAATGGACTTCGGGTCTGTCTCTCTCGCAGAGTGATGATCTCCAAACAAGCTGCCAAAAGCTCCGCAGCACTTTCGCGGACAATGATGCGAGGATCTCTGAGGGGCACCAGAATCTTCTCGAAGACGAGACCGATGTGTGCGTGGAAGTAGGTGGGGCTGTTTCTCGCTAGCTCCTTGAGAATGAGGACACCGGCATATCGTCCAGGTTCTTGCTTGTCGGCCTGAAGGAGTCCAATGGCTGCCTGTACTTCATATTCCATAAAATATTCGCCGAATCCAGCGCCACCTATTGCCGCGATTTGGCCAAGAGTCTTCGAGGCCGCGAGCATGACATTGATATCGTTATTGGGGAGGAGAGACTTGACATAGTTATAGAACCGGAAGAGGATGCTCTTGGATTCAATGACGCCGCCACCTTCAGCATTCAGCAGATGATCTGGCGAGAGGTCAATAAGACATCGGAGTCAAATATGGCACACAACTCACCAATGGCCGTGATACCTCCCAACTTCTCCACATTGGTCTGACTGTGCACAAGATCGAAGACCTTCCGATTGATAGTGTCGTCCCACAACTTGGCTGCAGCATCTGAAGACATCTCCGGGACGACTTCAATAACCTATTATCTCATTATCGGTGACGAAACGCGTGAAGCAGCAAGTACACGATGCTCACATATCGTTGCAGCTCCAGTGCTGCCTGCACACGAACGTCATGGCTCTTGTCTTTGAGACCATTGAATATCTGGTCCAGAACGTCCGTTTGGGACGTCGCAGCAATCGACGACATCTCGGGGATGGATGCTGTGCGATGCTCTCCAGAGGAGAAGCATGCAAGCGAGTGGATAGCAACCTAGTACGGTGAGCTCTGAGCAAGGAGTCTCCTGGGAGTCTCAGCGTCCGGGATCCGGTCTTGGTGACGAAAGTGCTATAACATTATACCATAATATACAAGCCAGTAATTCAACGGCCTGGTGGTCTAGTAGTATGATTCCTTCTTAGGGTGGATCTTACGCAAAAACATTTGGAGGAGGTCCCGGGTTCAATTCCCGGCCAGGCCCTTCATTTTGGCCTCTTGCACTTCAGGGCGCTTCATTTTCATCGGCTGCATCGCGTCTCCGTCGCGTCCGTGCATGTTGTCAGACGACTCCCATCTACTATCATCAAACCTTCGCTTTGCAACAAACTTCTTCTGTTCGCCCCCTCGGCCGTTGATATATGATAATCCTAACGCGTAAAGTATGGAAATGAAGAAAACGGTCCATCGACCGAAACTGCAAGTCAGATCAAGCATTGTTTGTGCGTGTAAAGAGCTCATTCGAGCTATTGTTTTCGCTCACATTCTGACACGACAGAGTCATGAACTCAGTTTCTGTGCTGCTGTTGTCTGCACGGACATATTGCTATGTGCCGAAGCTATGACATAGCGTGCGAGGGTTGCACTGCTCCCCCATAGCCAGACAGTCGGCACCATGCATCGGCAGCGTCTTTACGAAGCACTGTACTTGCGTGTCCTAGTTCTCTCAGCGAGCCTGGAAGAGCATGTGTGATAGGGGAAGGGGTGGCGGGGGAACTGCGGGATCTGTCTGGAATTCAAAGTCGTAAGTGGACATGCATGTGAACAAACGAGACCTTCCTCACTGGCGTATGTGTCCAAAGTAGGCGTCAATCATGTTGTGCGTTCAGATGAAGCCTTGTGCAGGTGCTATTTATGCCGAAAGCTACCTGCATTTGTGTTGGAAGACCTTGGAGACCTCTACTTCCGCGTCTCGAGCATATTCATTGACGTTCTTAGCCGCCGGTATGTGATGTATTCCCTGAGATACATAAACCTCGAAGGCAATCCTTCGACATAACTCACATCTGCTACAGGGCTTGCACTCTCCTAGTCACCTTCACTTCGGTAAACCACTACATTTCACAGCTCAGATCCCTCGAGAGTCTCGACGTGCGTCGTTCTGGCTGGTAGGAACGTCGCCGACCTGTTCGGCGCGCCGCACTTCCATACCACATGTCATCCAACACAAATACATCACACTTGCAGGGCGGGCCTCCCAGGAGAAGAGATGGAGGAGATGGATCCCAGTCTACGCAAAGGAGAACTACGATGAACGTACAGCCCGCTCCCGATCCTCAGCGGAACGAGGGCGTTTTAGCTGGAAATGCTTACATAGGTGCTCAATCAAGCTGTAAGTCGACTTCGTGGTAGTCTGCCCAGCGATTCATCCTTATCGTTGTCGCAGCCTCTCGAGCCGATGCCGGTAGACCAGACGAACCCCAGCGTGGAGGATTTGCCGGCCCACCGACAAACCAGCAGTACTACAACGATGTTGCACCGCGTCAAGAGGCCAAGTACGACAACCGTCCGGATAATTCGCAGTACTACCCACCGTCCACCGATCGCAACCTTCCGAGCGCTCAGAGTGGCCAGCCTGGATACAACTACACTGCGCCATCGCCCCTACCAGATCAGCAACCTCGTGACAACTACTTTGCTGTGCGTCCGGATGCAACAAATAGTGGCCTTCCCACTGCTCTCCCAGAACATGATGATCACGGCCAGACGCATCACGCACGCGTCTCTATTTCGCAGCCGTCTCAGCCGCGATACGATTACGAGGCTTCCAATCCACGCCAACCGAGCGGTGCTCCACAGTACCGAGAGGGCAATGTGTCCACAGCCGATCCTAGGGGACAGACGAGGGACGTGTCAGTTTCACGGCCCTCTGATTCACCTCGTTCCAACGTCGTCGGAGACACTCGACTCCCGCCCACCAGTGCGGCAGCCCAACAGTCGTACGCCCCTTCTGCACCTCAGAGACAGGTCGATGGACCCTACGTGCAAAGGGAAGAAGAGCGTGGTCCTTATAATGCACCGTCGCAAGCTCAGCCCGGCTATAATTCGACGGCGGGTGTACCGGCGCAGACGAATTATGCTTCCTCTGACTACCGCGGGCAGCCGAACGATCCGAGGGCGCGACCACCTGGTGTCGGAGATGGCAGAGTTCCTGGTGTGCCCGATGGCTACCAGGCCAATCTTCCCGCACGGGACCCCTACCAGAACCCTGGAGATGCGCGAGCGGGCGGCCGTCCTCTTGACTCCAGCGGCGTCGACCATCCTACATCTTACATTCAGCCCAGTTTCAACCAGCCATCTCAGCAGCCCCCTCAACCGTATTCAGAGGACAGAGGCGGCCGTCCACCTTTGCCGCCTACCCAACAGTACAATCCTCCACAGCGAGAGGAAACGCGGTATGCGCAGCCGTCGCAATATGTTCAGGGACCACAGCAGCCTCAATGGCAACCGCCGTCTCGTCCTGCTGACGGAGGGCTGGCTCAGCAAGAGTATGCTGGTGCTCGCAATCCTTCCGGCACGACCTACCAACCATATCCAGCAGATCGGGATGTGCGACCTGGTGGACCCCCCGTTACGCAAGGCCCCACGAACGCCCCGTCGCAGTCATACACACAGCCTCAGCACGGGTCGACTCTACCTCCTCAGGGCGATCGCGACCCGAGGTATGCACCATCGCAGCAAGGTGGGCAGCAGGATATACGACGGGAGGAAGTTCCCGACCCTCGACATGATCGCGTCGAGCGTCGAGACGACTACAATGCTCTTCAATGGGACCCTCAAGGCGGTGGGCGGCCGGCCCAAGAGATCAGGGCTGCGCCCCCGCCTCAGCCCAGCTACCAGCCGCAGAATCATCCGACGTATACTGCACCGAATGTTGCTCCTCAGGATCCCCGTGAATACTACGACAACAGGGACATTCCACGAGAACGAGTCGACAGGCAAGCTCCTCAAGGTCCTCCTCAGGCAGCTTCCGACAGCGCTCCTCGCCGAAATGAGCCGTACCCCGTGCAGTCGAACGCACCACAGCCGTACCCGCCGAATCGGGATGGTGTTTATTACGCTCAACCCCCTCAGAACCAGACTCGCGGGTGGGACTCATCTAGTGGATACGGTCCGGGAGATCAGAGAGGGTACGGAAATGAGGGACAATCATACGCTGGAGGCGGTAGACCAGTAGAACCTTCACCTGCACCGACGGGATATTACGAACAACCTCCGGGAGTCAATGTACCTCCCCAGCAAGATCCTCGAGCGTACGCCCCTCGCCAGGATTATGGGGCTCAGCAGCGCCAGTACCCGATCGACAATGCGACCTCTATCAATACTCCTGTACTGACAGTGAACAGTGCGCCCAACACCCCTGCCTCGAACTCGAAGCCACCGCCTACAGCTCCCATGTCCCGTGTCGTCTCTTTGCCAGCTCCTCAAGACTATCATTCGGGCCAAGGTCCTCCAACAGGACACCCTCCAGAGCGCGATCCCCACCATCAAGCAGCGCCTTACTATGGCCAAGACCGTCTCGAAGTCCCCGTTCCGGGTCCCCAGTATCGACTTCCGGAATCGCGGCCCCCTCCATCGCAGCCTTCAGCTCTCGCACCGCCCACCAATTTCGAGCCATCTCGAGCACCTTACGACGCGCGATACGACCAGCGTTCGGATATTGTTCGAGTTGAAGACGCATCCATCCGAGATACCCGCCGCCCAGATACAAGTCAAAGGCTCAATGCAGCACCTCAAGATGGCCGTTCAGACGCCATTGATAATGCAAAGCAGAGGAGCGGAATTGAGAGCGGACGGACTCAGGTCGACGTTTCGCGCTACGAATCATCACAGGTAGCTGGTAACTACGAGCAAAAAACATCTCAAGCGGATTTCAGGCAGCCACCTTCAACCATGCGACACGAAGCCGGAGGTGTCGCGTACCCTCAAGAGCCTGCGCCGCAGGCAGGTGCGGCGGCACGACCAGAACCGCGACGAGCAGATTACACCCCTCCATCTTCCAGTGGAGTACCCGCTCCAGCGCATTATGAGTCTGGTGCTACGCGCAAACCAGATCCCGGTGACCGAAATGTGAAGTTGGCTTCTTCGCTGCCAGCTCTCGTTGACCCATCACGTGGTCTTGCCGAATCCACCGACCCGACTGTTTCTGTAGCCCTTTCAAAGCCTGCAGCATACCCAGCTTCGCATGCACCCTCTTCACATTCCGGATCTTCGCAGGCACCGATCACTGCAAAGTCCGATGTCGAATCTCCAAAGCCTCTGAAGACCACCTTTGATATAGAGCCCTGGCAAACGACACCTAGTCCCGCATCTCCAACTGATGAACTCATGAAGTTGGAAACTCGCGAGGAGACTGCCACTGTTGGTAAAGAGCCGTCTTCCGACAAACGCTCTTCAGACCCCACTCGCGCAGCTCAATTCCCAGCAAGCAGCTCGCAACCACAACCGTCTCAACCAGCGTCATCAAGGCCCGCAGTGAAACGAAAAGAGACGCAAAGCTTGCCAGCGTATGTTGTCCTTTCTAGCTTTGTATACATATCTCATGCCTGCGATTTACCCGTACAGTGACGCAAAGCCACCACAGAATGTCCCAGTCGCTACATCCCTCGAGCGTTCCACCTCGTGGAAAGAGCAGTCTCAAGCAGCAGGCGGAGCACCTGTTGTCGCTGTTGAGCGGTCGAGAAGTGTTCGCAGCGAGGCTGACGCGCTGAGGAAGGAAGTTCTTACTCGAGGCACCAATGAGGATACGAATGTTCGAGGGATCAAACAAGCAAAGCCATCGTCTTCAGGAGGACCACAACCCTTGCAGTTGGAATCTGTCTCGCCGATGCTAGGAAAGATGCCTCGTCTTGCTACGAATCCCAATTCTCCCGTTGAAACAAGATCTCATCACTCGTTTGGCATTGCGCAAGGATCTCCAGAGGTTGATCGTGGGTGTGAGTCCTACAGAACCACGTCTTAGTTTTTTGAAGCTGACTCTTCTCTTGTCTCTAGTTACTTCCACACCGGATTCTGCTTACTTCTCGGATATGTCTTCCCCAGCGCCATCTCCCACCACGCAGGCCACCCGCCGCATGGTACCGTCGTCAGCTCAAAGCGACACAGAAACCATCGGTTCGCTTCATTCGCTCGAGTCTCAGGAACTCCGAACACCAGATAGTAACGTATCATTAGACCCCTTCGCGTCACCTCCGCCATCCGCAC